ACATACAGAAATTTAAGTGAAATAGAAGACGTCAAAATAAAGAATAGTATAGAAGCATTACAAATAAAAGAACAAAATGAAGGAAAACAATTTTCCATGGACCAGTTGTGGCTGTCATGTACCCATGCCAAAAGTAAAAAAATAGTTTCTCTGGGATTTTATATAAATGATTTTCCAATTAGAGAAAATTCATTTCCCCCATATGTGATAATGAAACTTGAACTTCAAGATGGCAATAATGAGGTGGAATGTAAACTGTTAGCTAAAAATATTAATGAGTTAGTTCCATATGATAGAATTAAATTTAATATTAATGTAGAGGGTGAGCAGGAGGAGGGAGGATCAAGAGGAGGATGGTTATTAATTAGTTATTAATTCCAGATAGAATTTTCTTTTTAATCTTATAGTAAAAATTTAATATTTTCCAAATAAATGATACAGATAGTTTAAATAAGGTCCAAGGTTCGGAAAAAAGGAAATCTAAAAAATATAATCATATAACATTTAAAGAATGTTTAAATGTCACAAAGAAGTTAATTACTTAAAAGAATGCGCCTTTAGTTACATGCCTTTTTCCCATGAAAGTTGGTCTTGGAGTATTAATACCTCAAGCAATTATTATGAGGATGGATATTAGTACCTCCCACTACACGACAATAAAGGATTTTATCAAATAGTGGCCAATTTTCTCAAATACTGTAGACAGGTATATAATTCACTCCACATTGATAAAAGTCATAATCATAACGAATATGTTGGAGGAAGATGTCGACTATGCCAATTACCAGGTCTCTTGCTCTTAGGTTATGATATTGACACACAAAAGAAAGGTATAGTATCTTTTTCATTTTTCACTTGTGATTTGCCATGCACTTGGGATATTCCAACTTCGATTTCTTCCTTTTCTGAAATGGTTACCAATCCAGGTTGGATTTCAACTACAATGCTAAAACCTAAAATACCACCTGTTTTTAATTTACCTCACACTATTAATAGTCTTGCTTTAGTAGTTTTAGTCTTGCTGACAGTAGTTTAGTAGTAGCTTATCGTTGGTCCTCCATACTCTTTTTACTCCTATAGCCCATATTAGTGATACCTTCTTCTCAGCTTAAATCTAAAAAATCTACAGGGCACCTGGGATCCACATCAGTTAGTAAATAAAGATAAAAAATATATTAATGATAAAGAAGCGACTTTAAAATTTCTCGTTTCTCGTTATATCATTCAATATTTCCCCAAGTCTCATCTTAATGAAAATATATTTTCTATTGCAGTCTTCTACTCCAAGGATTCACTAAACATCAACCAACAACTACATCACGATTTATTTCAACCCTCAGATTTTATGAAATCTTTTATCTGGGGTATTTCTCTTTTACAACTGAGTCAAGAAAGTCTATAAAATAAATAATAGCAACAATTTCTTCTCTTCCTCCCCCTCCTTCTTCAACCGTAAAACTCCAAAGTAACGATGGTGATATTTTTGAGGTAGAAGCTGATATTATTCGACAGAGTGGTGTTATAAAAACTATGTTCAGGGGGTTATCTTCTTGAGGTTATCTTGAGATGATTTCGGGGCTTTAGTGTCCCCGCGGCCCGGTCCTCGACCAGGCCTCCATCCCCAGGAAGCAGCCCGTGACAGCTGACTAACTCCCAGATACCTATTTACTGCTAGGTAACAGGGGCAGTCAGGGTGAAAGAAACTTTGCCCATTTGCTTCTGCCTCGTGCGGGAATCGAACCCGCGCCACAGAATTACGAATCCTGCGCGCTATCCACCAGGCTACGAGGCCCCAGGCTACGAGATTTGCCTAATAAGTTAGCTTATTAGGCAAATCGGGCCTTGCATAGTAGGCTGAGAAGTGCGTTCTGGCTACTAGGTATGACATATATATATATATATATATATATATATATATATATATATATATATATATATATATATATATATATATATATATATAGCACTTCCAGGTAGCACTGAGGTAGCACTTCCAGCATTCTTATCCTCATGTACAGCAGCCAACGAATTGGTAGGGCAGATCCTACCAGAGCGTATGAGAGAGACAGCGGGAACTCATGATCAAACGTTCATCGAAGCAGCCAGACAATGGGACACCATTGCACACCCTCAACCCCGACCACAAGTCCCAAAAGACCACAAGCAGGCCCACTGGGATAGCCCCATAATGGAAAAGACTGTCACAGCAATGATTGACAACGCTGATGCTGAAAACAAAGCCCGCCTCCTAGCGGTAACAGCACCCCACGCTGGGGATTTTTTATTTGCTGTGCCCAATGCAGCCCTGGGAACTCGCCTCAGTCATGACGCTCTCCGCATTGGAGTTGCCCTTCGCCTTGCCGCCCCCATCCTCACCGAACATAGGTGCATCTGCGGAACTGCGATGGCACACCAATATGGTCGTCATGGTCTGGTATGTCGTAAATCACAGGGTAAAATTGCAAGACATGAAGAAGTCAACGACATCATCAA